AAAGGATATACCATATATATATTATGATGGCTTAAAGTACAAAAGCGAGAATGTTGGTTGCAGCGTGGCAAGAAGGGAATAATAGTAATCATTGAGCTTTAAGCATTCCCTTTGGGATTACTTTAATTTTTTGGTTAATTATTTCTCAACTCTCACCACGACGCGCCGCGGGCTTTGCTACTTCGTCTTCTTCCTGATGAACTCGCTCCTCTCTCTCTCTCTCTGCCTCTGCTGAAGATGTTCTTAATGGTTCGGTTGTTTGCTCAGCAAATTGAACGAAAACAAACTTGAAAAGTTTGCAACACGACGCAGCACGCAGCATGTGGATGGATATGCAGATGCTGCTGGAAGTGCTGGAATGGAAATGGTTTTCAGATCATTTTCTCAAGTTTCGGGGGCTTTTGGGGTGACTAAAAGATCTGCAGAGAGTATCTATCTATAGATGATAGATTTTCTTGTATAAAAATTAGTTTTCAATTTGAATTCTACAACATTTTTAACAATTTATTAATGAAATTTCAATTTGGTTAATAACATTCCAGCCTTGTCCCTGCTTTGTTGGTCAATTTGATTGAGTTAATTGACACTCGGTGTCCTCGCTTCATCCCACAATTCGCCCTGACCAATAAAACCCCAATTCATCAGAGAGATGAGATATATATATGGAAGAGATATGTATTCATGATGTTGACCGCAAAGTGCGTGGCATAATGATCTCATGTTTCCGTTGGCTTTTGCGGTCAACTGGTGAATGCGGATTGCACAAATTGTTAACTCGGCCACTGGAACTAGTGTTCCCTCGGCTGCTGTTACCGCCCCTTCCCACCCCTCTCTCTCTCTTCTGCATTGAGTTTGTTGTAATTGTTTTAAAATTGTGACAATTGCTGTGTGGGTCGTAGTTTTGGAGGGCGTGGCAATAAGGCAACAAGGGCAAGGTTGCTGCAGTTGACAAGCCGCAGTGGCAAGAGTTTTTAAAAATTTATGCTACCCGCTGTCATAGTCGGGTACAAGGACAAAATGTTGCTGAGGTAGAAAGGGAAAGGGGCAAAGAAGACTGGTTGGGTCAGGGGTTCTGCAAAAAAAAAAAAAAAAAAAAAAAAAAGAGGTTAGTTAACATGACCTGCTGTGGTCCAAGCCACTGTCCATGTCCTGCATCCGGTTTCTTCACACAACAATAAAACGAACGACGCAACACTTATGTTGGTTTACTTTTGCCTAGCCCAGCCAGCAGCAGGCAGCAGCCAGCAGTCAGCAGTCATCAGCCTAGCCTGTCCTTTTCCGACCTCCATTTTTCTTCTTGCACAACTAGTATTGCCCTTTTACCCCTTTTGCCCTAGCATTTTGGCCACACAATGAAGTGCCTCCAACAGTCAACAACAGCAGAAGAAGCAGAAGAAAACTGCTGTAGCTGAATTCCAGCAGCGTGACAGTTGCTGTCGTTGAAATGTGGAAAGTGCAATGTAAAAAGTCCATTGGCAGGCTTAAGAAGCTAAGGAACAGCTGGAGAGGGTGTAGTTATGAAAATTTATTGGAAAAAGATGGGTTTCTAAGTTAGTAGAACTCAATCAGTGGTTTTTCCCAATCAGATCAGTTAATAGCCAAACTTCTTACCTTAGAGAATTCGCTGTGCGGCTTTCTTAATTTGTGAGCTTTTCCACATTTTCATTTTGTTTGTTGTCTTTGCATGTGTTGACCATGACATGAACTCGTGTGTGTGTGACGAAAACAAATGACTGACGCAAATGTAATGGCAACCCTTTTGCCCCCCACCCTTATCCCCTCCCTCTGCTCCTAATTAAAGGCCATGTAAAGAGATAAGAAGAAGAAGGAGAGAAAAATGCAACAACTGTGGAATTTAATTTTATAAATAAAAAAAAGAAAAAGAAAAAAAGAAAAACGGGAGGGAAAATGAAATTAATGGATCTCGTGTCTATCTTTCCTGTCTCTTCCCTGCACTTTTGCCATCTCGCTTCTTCTCACTTCTGGTGACCATAATCACAGCTGCATTGTGTATAGCAATTAAAGCAACAACTGCAACAAAAAGAGAGAGGAAAAGGGAGAGGGAAAAGCAGGAGTTGGGAAAATCATGGGGGGGGGGGTTAGGGGGGTAAAGAGAGTTGAGAAAGTTCTTGTTGTTTGCTTTTTAATGGTTTTCAATGATTAAATTGTTGATAACAATTTTAAGCTGCACTCGTTCAGGCACTCGTTCAGGCAGCCCCTGGCTATCTGTCTCTTTCTAGCCTTCTATAGACATCTCTTTCACTCTTTATATATATATATATATATGTCCCTCGTTAGCATCTTGTTGTTGTTGTTGTTGTTCTCGGTACTAACTTTAGAACAGACTATGGTCCATGTAAAGTTGAACGTGGGCATAACAATGTGCCCTTAACTTGGCCCACAGACTGCAGTTTTCTCCCTCTCTCTCTCTCTTTTTAACCCTTTTTTTTATAGCCATCTCCCTCTGTCTCAGTCAGTCTAACTATCTTGCTGTCCCTGTCTTTGCCTCTGTCCCCTGTCCCCTGTCAATTTCAATGTGCAATTACTTGGAATTTGTTTGAAGTTTTCCAAGCAGCAGCAGCAGCCGGAAAAGTTTTTTTCCCTTTTCCATAGTCAACCATCAACCCCCACCCACAATACACATTAAAAATTTAATTAGAGAATGCCTGCCTTGACATCAGAAATCAAAACAAATCGGGCGAAAAGTTTCTCGGCAAATTGGTCCGAATAAATTTTTGGTTTGAGTTGCTTAATCTCTCTCTCTGTGCCTGTTGGCCTTAATTTATTGCGGGGCATTCATTAGCAAAGGAATTTTTGATCTCTTAATTTATCAAAAAATTACGAGTATGATAGGGATTTCTTCTTATAGGTTTTTTTTGTGGAATTTTAAAGTTTAGAAGAAAAAAAAAAGGAAATAAAAATAATGGCAAATTGCCAAGTTAAAAGCCAGGTCTTAAAAAAAAGAACTCAACCATTTCGTATATCCTGTTTTGGCCGCCTCAATTCGTTTCGCGGCTTATGCATTCTCCTGTGTTTTGTTGTCCTCTCCGCTTTGGGACCGAGTTGGGTTCGCTTTGTCATGCTAAGGGTTAAGCCGAAGTGGTTAGAAAGAGGATTTGAGAACAGGGTGGCTGGGGATGGGGTTGGGCATAAATAACGACACGTTGTGCATTTTGATGGGGAAACAACTCAGTATGGGGATTGGCCATGGTATATTACAGAAATACCAAAAAAGAAAAAAGAAGGGGGGAGGGGCTGGTAGATTTTGACCCTGACTTCGGTTTAACCCTTTTCCGCATCATTGCCCCAAACTGTATGGTGGGGGGTAGAGAAAGGGAGGCGAAAGGGTTAACTGTGTAAAACCACATGAAAATGCTTTTATGATTATTATTCGTTGATATTTTTTGCGTTGATTTTGATGTTTATTATGACTTTGATGTCAGTTAAATGACGGTAAATATTCATCGAAGTCATGTTGAATCTGTTCAAATTGAAACTATAAAACCCAACAACAAGCAAGGGCACTATTTTACACCCCACAACGCCCATTAGAGTTATTTACATTGGAGTTTAAGTTCATTCAGTTTTCATGGGCTGTCAGTTAGAAATATTTTTGAAATATTTCAATTGCATGGCGAACTGAAAACGACCGGACAAGCCAATAGTAATCGTTATAATAATGTCAGAGGGGGGTCTCTCGAAAATCAATGGCTTGCAAAAAAAAAAAAACAAAAGAAAAATCCATGTTTGATGATTTTTCATCATAAAAAGTGCAACAAAATTTCAAATGCAAACAGTTTGTTTGAGAGAAAGAGAGATAGAGAGAGAGAGAGACAGAGATAGAGAGAGAGTGAGTTCTAAGGGAAAACCCAACAATATCCATTGAAAATGTTCAATGCATAAACAAGCATATTTCAATCTTACTGCAAACTTCAATTTCACCATGAATAAGGCATGAGTTTGAGACTTTTCTGTACTTCATATATATGTGTGTCTATATATGTGTGTCTATATATGTGTGTGAGGGTGAGTGTGTGTGTGTTCTATAAAATAATTCACAGAATAGTTTGAATAGGCTCTTAAGGGTTACTACTTTATCGATTAAAAACTGAAAAGAGAGTAAGAGAGAGAGAGAGAGAGTAGCATTGGTAATCCTTAATAATTCACTGGACAACCTTTTGGACAACAACCTTCAAAATAATCCATTTTCCATGAATTTCTATACGAATTCAAATGAATTTACACCATTGCAGTATTCCCAGCAATTTTTGTATGTCCATTCGCCTGCCACCCACTTTTTATCAATTGTTTAGGAAAAGTTGCCCAGCTAGCTTTTATTTTCGGTTAGCTTTACGAGTCAACACTCCCAGGGGTCTTGAGTTTTATGTTACTTTTATGAATTCGAAATTTTTTAGCACACCCACACACATACACACATACTATGATGCCAAAAGCCATTGCAAACTTTTTATACACACACACACACACACAGTGTAACCACGCAATCAGCACAATAAACATAAAAAACAAAGCTAGAACTTTGGTCCACTATCTATCTGCTTTACTGCTGGCCAGATCTGCTGTAAATTATAATATATATATACTATATACTCTATATAAATTGTACATAAATAAATATATATATATATATATATCTGTATATATATATACATAGATAAAACGTGAATGTAATGGTATGTGTATGTGTCAATGTATGTGCGTTTGCCTGCCTGTTTCTTAAAACGTTTCCGTTGCCACTTTAACAACTACAACAAAGAGCACAAGAAAAAATCTTCAAAAAAAGGAAAAGATATTTATATATATATAAATTATATAATATATATTTATATATATATTTAACGTATTTAATTTATGCAAATGAAAAGTGCGCGTCGAGGCTGTGAAAGAAAAGCCAGCCGACAAAACCAACGACAAACAAATTCGAAATTAATTTGCATTGAATAACAAAGGAAACGCTTCGGTTTCAATTTCAATTTCAGCCAAGGATAAAACCCAACCCCTAGACACCAAAAAAAGAAAAAAAAGAAAAATATATAAAGAAAAAACTGATACAAAAGAGAAGCCAAATGAGGGAAAATGAAGTGCCAAAGTGTTGAAAATAAAGCGAAAGCCAAGAGACGAAATTGAAATCGAGTAGAAAAGCCGCCCAACCATCGCCCAGTAAACAAAAACAACAACTTAACAGAGAATAAGAAAAGATTTTTCCCCCGTTCAGTTTTTTCTCGGTAACGCGCGCATTCACCGTTTCCGTTTCGTTTCGTTACGTTACGTTACGTTACGTTCAGTCTTTCGTTTCGTTACGTTTCGTAACCGTTTTGATTACTGTCGTTTGTCCCGTAACCGTTTACCGTTTCGCGTTTCCCGTTTCCCGTTTCGCTCGGCAAACATTTAAATGGCTACCAGCTGCTTATGATGGAGACATTCCTCGTCCTCGGCCTGTGTTTCATCCTGTACGAGGCATTGGATTTCTTTCAGGGCTGCATACATAGCAATACCCCATCGCCCAGCGATCAAATCGAAGCCTATCGTCGCGAACTTGACGAACAGCGTCAGCAGCAGCAGCAGGAACAATTCCTTGCTGGATTGACGCCATTGCTGGGCGCTCAATTTGCCGCTGCCGCCGCCGCCGCGGCCGCTGCTGCCGGTTCGCAGTCGACGTTGGGCAGCACAACAACGCCAACAGCCTCAACGGCCAGTGTGATTAGTGATTCATATGATCAAGAATCTCAATCTCAATCTCAATCTCAATCGCAATCTCAATCTCAATCTAATCAGAATCAACAACATTCTTTAAGTACTCCGGGACTATTTCGTCCAGCTGCCTTGGGCTATTACGATCCAGAGGATCCATTACATGCCACAAACTCTCTGCCCCGTGACTATTACTATCTACAGCAGCAACAGCTAAAGAATAAAGTTAGCTCAAGATCGTTACTATCGAAATTCTCGTCAACCAATTCGGATAATCGTATACATCCGGAAGCTGGTGCCGGTTCGGGGCATCATCATAGTGCCCTTGGTGCAGCAGCTGTTATAACCAGTCAGCCATTGCCAGCCGGCGGTGAGATACCATCGAGTCTATTCGATCAGCCTGGACAGCCGGCAGTAGTGGCACCATTACAGCTACAACCATCGTCACCACTATTTGTAGAACTAAAGCGAGCTATTATTAGTCAGAATCAAAAGTCACAAAAGCATCAGTCACAAAGACATCATCAAAAGCAGGTGGAGGATTCTTTGGAGGAAACACAGTGTCCACAGTGCGAAGAAGAGGAGATACAATATTTGGCTGAAAATCTAGACGATCTTGTTGAATCTGAGGAGCAACAGTATTCGCCAGGTGAAGAGGAAGACGACGAAGGTGACGACGAGGACGAAGACGAAGACAACGAAGAGGATCGTGAGGAGCAGCATTCGTACGTTGGTGGTGCCACAAGTGAACCGGATATTTGTGCAGCAACACGACAACAACAATTAACTAGAATACATCATATAGCTATAGACGATATAGCCGCTGGACAGGATCATCACGGTCATCATCATCATCATCATCTATCAATTTCGGGACAAACAACGTTGGGCGCCAATTCTCACGCCGACTTCAGGGAAATCGAGTGCGAGCGACTGCGACGCAAGTGCGTTAGCGTTAAGCGCATCTATAGCATATCGGAGAAGTTCTAATTCAGATTCAGATTCAGATTCAGATTCACTATCACTCTCAATCTCAATCAATTCGATAATTCAGCTCTCATAACTGTACAGCCCTTCACCATATTGCACTTCAATCCGATCGGAAAGCAAAAACTAAAAATCTAATCAAAATCGAAATCGAAAAAAACGCCAAATCAAAAAAACCAAAAAAAGAAATCACCAATCAAAAATCAAAAACCAAAATCAAATCGAAATATATATTAAAACGAAAACCAAAAACCCAAGCAAAATCAGTTTTCAAATTCAAAGCTCACCAAAAATCGAAACCAAATGCAACCAAAATCACAAAATTGCCCAAAGCGAAACACCCCACACAAGGTTAGCAAAAAGTAAAAAATATCACAAAAAAACAAAAAGCCAACAAACTGAAAAAAAAAAGAAAATCAAAAGAGAAGAGCAAAAAAAGAAAAGAAAGTCAAAAAAAAAACCTAATGAAAACTAAACCAAGAAGCAAAAACCGACACTCAGAAAAAAAAGAAAATCAAATGAGAATTTTGTCAAGATGATAAACTCACTCGTATATAAAATGAATTTGCACAGCATTTCAAACATGATTACATTTCCTGCTTTACTTTTTGTTTTCTCACCTGCCTGTTTTTTCACCAGTTTCTAATCACACCACCAGCCATTCACTTCAGGTTCTCTCACATTGCGATAAGTTTTGGTCCTTCGGTCCTTGCACTTTTCTCACCAAAATAGTCACCAAATAGTCACGTCTAAAATAGTTTTCACCTTGATTAAAGTTCCAGTATTAATAACCATTATTCTATAACACCAAAAGAAAGGTTTTCTCTTCTTTCACTCTTATTAATCAAATTGAATATATAAGTTCTCTATATTTATGGCAAACTTTGTCAGAGAAGTAGTCACCCATTTATAATATTTTCTGCACTTTTCTGTTTCTTAATCATAGGTATTATTTTTTACCTTAAGACATGATAAACTTGCACTAGCCAGCCAGACCACTTTTTATACGTAAGGACACCTTCTTGTTTCTTCTTCATAGTGCACCACATTCCAACCAAAAATTCCACAACCTCTCTCTCTCTCTCTCTCTCTCTCTCTTAATCTCTCTCTCTTTCACACACATACACATAGACACACATTAGCCAGCAATTTGTCACCTGGCCTTTAACCAATGTTTTTTCTTTTTTCTCTCTCTGTGTTGTTAAGCTCGGCTCTAATAATTCCAAACTTTTTGCAGCTGCGAAACCACTCAACACAATCGCACACGTTTGGTGTCCGAAGAGTACTAGTAAGGTTACATCAGAAACTACTATAACATACATTTTCTTGCATATTTTATTTGGATTTTTCCTTCCTATGGTTTTTGGGGTTTAAAAAAAAGAAAAAAGAAAAGGAAAAAGAGAGAGAACAGTTTAAAATTCTCTGTGGTTGGTTACTCTCGAAACTTTTTGCTTTTGTTTAGATTAACTTTAACTTTTAAGTTCTTTTTTGTTATTTTTTTTTCTACCTACCTACCTTGCTTTAATATTTCTAGTTTCTCTCTGCTCCCTTCTTCTTTTTCCTTTACTTTTTCTAGCTTGTTTTCCCTGTTTTTCCCTGTGAGAATTCCTTGGGTCTAAAGCCAGCCACTTGGGAGTGGGCGACTGAACAACAAATATGCTAACTAGTTGGCTTTGGCCAGGTCTTTGTCCCAGTCTCTGGCCCGGCTTTTAAACCTCTGCTTTCGAGTGTTATGCAAAGTAAATTGTACATAATTGTTAGGACTAGCAAAACAGGACACACTCACACACACACACACAGACGCGCAGAGGGAGAGATAGCATCTCTCACATATATGCAAATGACAGGAGCCTGAAACCGAGGACAATGACTAATTTTGCTGTCATTGTTGGAGAAAAAAATAAAAAAAAAAAGAAAATCAGAATGGTAAAAAGGACAAAAAGAAAGGGGAAGAAAGAGAGGAAGAAAAGCTGTAGAGCATTACTATCATATCTTACAAATTGTCGCAGCAGAGACCGCCCCCCGCACCCCCCTCTTAATACTATACATACTCGTATATAATATATATATATATGTATATCCTTTCAATTATTCGATATGGCTTGGGTCCTATATATGTGGTAGAAATCTGTTGTTGTTGTTGTTCTTGTTGTATTCTTTTACTCGTTGGACCTCGTTTTCATCTTCAGTGACCATGTATGTTTGTATATCCTTGGCCCGCATCAAGTTAACTTTCCCCACATGTCCTTCTTCTCGTTCACCATCTACACTGTCCTTCCTTCTGCTTTTCAACCATTTGTCTCTCCCTTTTGTGCTCGGCGTTCAACGTTCAACGTTCGTAATCTTTTGGTCTTTTCTTCATCATCGTTTAGCTTGATGTGGTTTTTCCCCGACTTAATCAGTTTTACTATTGTTTGTTTTTACCAAGCACACAGCTACCCTCTTTCCAAATGCCTTTCCATGTATGACTCTCTGTGTGTGTGTGTCTGTATAGATATATGAGCTCTGCACTTATACCAAATCTACGTTTGTGTGCAAAATAATAGAACATTGTTGCTGAGTTTAGAGAAAAAACTATTGCTGTGGCACTAATAATGATTAGTTTAGGAACAAAAAAATGAACTCAAGATTTTTTGCAAAAATATGATATTTTTTCTGGGTTTTTGTATCATAACTTGACTAATATGTCCTATAGTTATCAAGCTGACTGATTTTAAAAGCTGACGATCTCAGCTTTCTACCCATACCAATGTCTGCTTATTTGTGAAAAATTCATAAATCTTCATATTTTCACTTTTTTCGTAAGGGGTAATTTTTTCCAATTTAGCGAAAAAAAGACAAAATTTTACTTTTTTAACCTGGAATGCAGTTTTCTTGGAATTTTAATTACGAGCTCAACGAGGTATTACATTCCATATTTGGCCCATTATTGGCTTAGTTATGGGAATAATACAACTACTTTGGTGAGGAAATGAGGAGAAATCAAGTTTCGCATTTTCGATAAGGGGTAACATCGTCTTTTTTGAGAAAAATGGATAAAAATTAACAATTTTAGCTGTGAATGCAGTTTTGTTGGAAATTTAATAAAGAATTCAACGAGATATGGCATTCCAGATTCGAGTTACTATTGGCTTAGTTATGGGAATAATACTGAAACTTGAAAGAGGAAATAAGGGGAAACCCAATTTCGCACTTTCCATAAGGGGTAACACTATTAAAATTTGAAAAAAATGACAACATTTTGACATTTTAAGCTGTGAATACAGTTCGGCGAGGAATTCAAAAACAAACTCAACGAGGTATGACATTCCATAATTGGACCATTATTGGCTTAGTTATGAAGAAATTACTACCATTTACAGGGTGAAATGAGGTTAATCTTAAGTTTGCATTTTTGATAAGGGATAAGAAAAGAACAAAAAAAAAACTAAGATTTTTAGCGGTTTCAGGGGTGCTAATATTTTGCCCACAGCTGTAACTACATTGAAAGATTCTTTTTGGTTATTTTTCTACTAGCGCAGATAAGTATGCTATGCCTTTTTGTTTTGTGTTCGACAGGCAGGAACTGGCAATTATATTGTGTAGAAGCGTGCGTGTGTCTGTGTGTGTGTCTGTGTGCTTGTGTTTGTGCATGTGCGTTGATTCGGGAAGGGGAATTTCCCATAAATGCTGCATCATAGCAAGTATTTAAGTCAGTGAGAGGCCTCTCTCTGCCCGTTTAGCTTCCACAACCAGAACCAGAACCAGAACCAGAAACACATTCATCTCGCCCTTAACCCGCTTACGTCTCGTATTTTTGATGTATGTACATATATGTATGTATGTATTTTTTGTTGTTGCTGCTGCTGCTGTTGGTCCATTCAAGGGCAATATTCTTCTGCATCATTAACCCCCAGCTGACCGCCGTGAGAAATGGCCCAAAGCCATGCAGTCATGGTCAGCTTAACCCATTCGTGGTAGCAGCTATCTCTTGTGAAAATTCACACAAAATCGAATCAATAGTCGGCCAAGTGAAATTAATTTCGCTTTAAGGAAATTTAAGTGAAACAAATGCTCTCTTCTTTCTACTTAAACTCAACTTAATTTACCCTAATCCGAGTGTGTGAGTGTGGGTGAGTGTGTGTGTGGGTTTTTGGCCCCCACTCATCTATCGTGGGTTAATTCCCAAAGACGTATTAGCTTGGCGAAATTTATCCAACTCAATTAATCTCAGCTCTCTGTTCTGTGACTTTACAGAATTGATAGCCTCGTTCGAGAAGGCGTGGCGCCTGAGCGCCCCCTTTTTCTGTTTTGTGATTTATTCTTAATTTTGTTACGTGTTTGGTTTAGTTTTTTCCCGAGATATATATATTATTATTTCGTTATCTATAGTAGATTTTTAATGAAAATTAAGGCAACTTTCTCATGGTCCTTTTAATACTATTTCCTTTTTTTTCTTTTCTTAAATTTCTTATGGCTAATTATATTTGCAGCTGCAAATGTCGAACGATAAACTTTTCTTTTAGTTAGCACTGAAATCCGGTTTATAAATTCAATTTATATGAAGTGCGAGAGAGAATGAAAAACGATGTGGGGGGGTGGGTAAAAAAAGACCAGAAGTTTGTTTGCTCTATCAGCTGCGGCTTAATGAGTGCCAGTCGTTTTGGTCTGTCTATATATCTTTCTGTCTGCGGTCTGCAGTTTTAACTTGTTGAATTGACAATAAACAAAGGCGAGTAGAGTCCACCCACACACACACACACACATACACACACACCCAGGAAACAGAAAAGTTGTCACCACACACATAGATATATATTCAGCAAGTTTTAATACCGCCAAGCTCTAAAAGCCATCATCATCTATGCCATTGTCAACTTGTGTGTGTTTGTGTGTGTTTTATGTTTAAAATATATATCTCTTTCTGTGTGTGTGTGTGTGTTTCGGTTTGGGTTTGAGAAACATCAATTTGTAGGAAGAAAACTTAAGTAAATTCAGAGCCAAGTTTCTTTTTGTTGCCAGCATTTGCCACACGACCCTTTAGCGATCGTACAGCCATATTGGGTAAACAACCACGTTTTTGTAGATCATCTAGTTTAACGGTGATCACTGTATCAATTTCCTTCTGCCTCTGAGCCTCAGCTGCCCTTTCCCTTTCAAAGGCCAAATGTTCAGCTTCCAATTCCCTGCGACGTGTCTTTTCACGCTCCTCAATCTGGCATGAAACGCTTGCTCGTAGACAGGCCTTCTTAAGGGCCTCTTCATCGGCCTCGCGTTTACGTTGCTCCTCTTCCTTTCGACGATATTCGATCATCTCCTTGAGTTCCCTTTCACGTTGAACATAATAGCAGGCCTTCATTTGGCTAAGATGTTCCATTTGTTCCATATTCCCACGCTTAAGATCGGCAGCCATTTTTCTTTCCTTTTCAGCCGCTTTCCTTTCATTTTCCCTGTACTTACGTTCGAGACGTTCATGTTCGGCAAGGAAATGCATCTCTTCGCGATTATCCTTGGCATCGAGTATCTTTTGCCCAACAGCAAAGAGGACATCTCGTTTACGTTTCTCATCCGCTTCGATGGCCTCACGTTCGGCCCTCTGTTGCTTTAATTGCTGCTCCTTTAGCTTGAGATACTCATAGGCTCGATTCTCATCGCGTTGATCTTGCTCACACATCATTCGCACGAAATCGCGATGTAATTTCGTATATTTATTTAGCTCATCTCTGTAGGCTGACTTTCGTTTTGATCGTGTCTCACCCTCGGCCAGTTCAGCCCTCTTGTATTCATCGACTGCGGCCCGTAAGTCTTTGGCTTCCAAACGCAAACGATCCTGGGCCATGAAACGTAACTTCTCACGATCGCTGATTTGTTCACGGACAGCATTACCAAATTGCCGTCGACGTTCTTCTTCGGCCTGATCATGTTCCTCGACGGTGCCCCATTTGGCATTGTTGTAGTCACGATTCTTGCGTGCCATCTCTTCATCGTGATCGAGTTGGATGCGATTAAGAAGTTTTCTCTCCTGTATCTGAGCCGTCCACATGGCACTGCATTTGGCTTCGGATATAGCACGAGTTGCATCTTTTACCCGTTCGTCTGATTCGTATTTGGCATCCAAAGCGCGATGAAGGACCTGCAGTTGAGGTTTGCGAAAGTTATTATAGAAAAATAATAATTTCGATTAGTTTCTTATCGATTACCTGCAATCGTTTGGCCTCAATTCTGCGCTCTTCATTTGCATCCTCATCGGCCTCGTCATTGTGTCTTTTCTCCGTTTCCCGCTCTTTTTCCCTTCGCTGTTCATCGATGTCATGGAAATAATTTCGCATACGTTCGGCTTCGGCTGTATGAAATTGCTGCTCCTCCATACGACGATCCTGTTCGGCACGACGTTCTTCAGTGGTCCTAGGTCTCGAGGCTCTCATGCGATCTAGTTCACCTTGTGAGAGTTCTGCATAGCCCTTGGATTCCCACGATTGACCCTTGACATGAAAGAACGTTGCCTTGGCTCCATCATATTTGCGATTACGTGGAGCTTTGCTGCCACCAACCGGTGCCTTGGGCTTTTGTCCGGGCATTAGTAATGGATTTGGTGGTCGTGTGCCTGGTGGCAAGGGCCGTCTTTGATCCTTGGGCTTAACTGGTCTATCCCTGCGTACGCCACACTTACGCTCCTCCTCAACGGCCGTTGTTGGTGGCGCCTCCAAATAAATTGGTCTCTTAAGTCGATCATAGCAGTCTGCATGTAACTTCATAGCGGCTCGCGAACGACATGGCATTACCATAGGCATCTTGACTGTTGTTTTTACGTATGACTTTGTTGTTCGAAAGGATTCGGGAAGGAATGAAGGTTGTCTGGCGCGGGGGGGCGGCGCAATATCGCAATAGCAAAATGTTTTTTCCCTTAGCAATTTGTTGTTTTTGTCCGTCTGTTTGTGTTGCTCGAAGGCTGTTGTTCTGTTTGCTTGTTTCGATTTGTTTATCCAATCGAATCTGTCAGGTTAAACAGACACACAAGCCCACAGCTTGCTAGGGTGGGGGGATAGCTAGATTACTAATTTACGATTTAATAATGAAAGTTTCAAAAACCTAAAACTTAAAAATTAAATATTTAAATATTTAAATTAACCGAAAAAAGAGTACAGTGTTTCCTGCCTGTTAACACCTGACCACTTGAGTGTCGTTTTGTCGAGTGGGTCAGGCGAGGAGGTGGCAAAAAACTAGCGGAAAGAGAAAGCAGAAGGAAAATTGAGAGGTGGTGGTGGAAATAGGGGAAAAAAAGGGGAAAGCTGGCGCTGCATTTACTTCCGCCTACTTTGGCTGCATTCGAAGGCGTTGATGCTTGCATTTTGGAATAGCCCCGACAATTTGCATTCTTTATATGCCTGCCACTCCCACTATTCCGCCCTCTACCACGCTCTTTCTCCCTTAAAGCCACACCCTCAGGCAGGTGGCATGAAAATTTAATTACACGCCTCGCTGAAATGCTTTGGCTTAGTCCTAGGGGTTGGTGGTTTATATTTTTTTTTTTTTTAGTTTTTTTTGGTTAGAAACCTCTTTGCCGCTGCTGCCTGTAGATTAGGCTAGGCAAGCAGGAAAAAAAAGGGATAATGGGGAAAAATGGTTGAACATTTTTTAAGTAGCGTTATTATAGCTCAGCCACTTAAGAAAATGCGAAAATGCTTGAAAAAAAATGAAAAAATTACTTTATAGTTTTTGTTAAATTTATTGCCATGTTTTTTGGGGACGTAAAATTTGAGATTTATTTTATTATGACATTCGATACTGGCCAAGTTCAAGAGTAATCTTTACTTTGTGATGGCTTTTCGAGAGTTCTTTCTTTCTCTCTATTGAAAGTTGAGTCAGAAACTGAAACTCATTGACTCTTAATATCTTCAGAGCCAGCCTCTAGTGTTTGTCTTGTTTTGTCTATTTGTGTGACGTCGTCGGTCGTCGTCGTTGTCAGGCACACAAAGGCAATGTCTACTTCACGATATTCGAGATTCGAGATGAGATGGTGTGGTGGCTGGCCGTGGGTCAAATGTATGCTTCTTCTTCTTAACTATGGACAACCCCAACGACAGCCGCAGTTCAAATCGCCCTTGGGTTCCGCTGCAGAATATCATTTACTGAGGATGTTTTCTTCTTCATTGAACCTAAGCACGAAGACTGCTTTTTGCCATAAATATGAATTATTTTTCTTAGATTTTTCGGTGGGCAGCTAAAAATCATATTACAGATATATATTTATATACGAGACCAGTAAACTTTCTCTTCACATTTCAATGGCAATAAAAGTGATTTAATAAGGCGCAAAATAACACAACAAAAGGGGCAAAAAAAAAAGAGAGAGAAACGAAAGAAAAAAAGGGGTGGACAGGGAGAGGAGGGAAACCAGCAAAAACGAAATCAATTTGATTTGTCGCCACAGACGACGATGGTGGGCGGCGTTGGGCGGGTTGCTATGCCAGGCTCTTGGCCACGCCCATTGCGTGTGATTAAGTGCGCGTTTAATGTGCACGCCATGGCCATAAAACAAATTGTATGCTGCAATCCTGCCACCGAAAGCTTTCGCAATTTACTTCACATACATACAGAACTCTGGGGGAGATTTAGTCCAGCATCTATGTGTACCCATTGGTTTATCCCACCTCCACCTTCTCCTCTTTTCTCGCACAATCCTTCTCTATTTGAGAGTTCCGTAACTGATTTCGACCCATAGCCATAGCCATAGAGTCATGGCCGTAGTCGTAGTCGTTCGTAGTCGTTTTTGGGGGAGGCTAAAAAACTTTTACCGCTCTCGCCGGCTGTGTGAGCGAGGGCTTTGAAATGTAAATACGGCTCATTATTTCCAATGCCTTGCCATTCATTTGCAAAGTTTCCAGTTTGCCATGGCCCAAACACACACACACTCCAATACACACATGTCTGTATATGAAAATGGACGTGGACCTAACATACGCACAGTCACCATGGAATTATTTACGGTTCACTAGGAATTATACTTTGGGGCTTAAAGTCACGAAAGCAAGTCTTAAAAATAAACTATAAAGTTAACTATTTTTAAGGATTTTTTTGTATTCTTAAATTGGAAATTATTTCTTACTGTTTAGATCAGAAAATGTTTCCATTTTTCTTCCTCTCACTATGAAAAGTTGAAAGTTTTGTTTTGCTTTTCAACCCACTGTGCTTTGACAGGAGGACTGAATGTGACTATCGGTTCACCTTTAATTAACTGTAATGCCATCAGGCAACAGGACATCCGTTGGTCAACGTGTGTGTAATGCCCCTTTTTGCTTTACCTTTTCCATTACCAACCTCCCTCCCTCCCTACCCAAGAGAGAGAGAGAGAGAGAATGTGTGTGTGTGTCTGCGAAGGGTTTATTATTTTCACTTAATTTTTGCTAGAGGTATTCCCCTTTTCTTTTTTTTTTGTGTTTACCCCTGGAACCTTGGGATCCGGCCATTCAATTTACGTGCCTCTCTCGGACCTTACGTCCATCCCCAAATGGCAAATCATCACAGCTAGACAGAAAAATAAGAGAAAAAACCTTTGGAAAAAACAAATGCAGAAAAGCTGGCTGAAACCTTTCGAAGAAGAATAAGACGAAAGCCAAGAAACGGAATGTGGAATCTTGTTTGTATAACCAGAGCTGCGGCAAAATGTTGTTCAAATTGACTTTGGGGGCTTGGATGACTCGGCAGGTGGATCGTAATGTCCTGCTGCCAGGGCGGGGAAGAACCTTTGGGTTTCCTGCCAAAAAAAAGGAGAGAAAAAGAAAAGAAAAAGAAAAGGTACAAAGTCAGCGACAAAGGACAATGTTTCGCCTGCTGCACAATGGCAAATAATTCATAACTTGGCTCAAAAGTTTGATTTAGCTGCAGTTAATACACTTCTGTTGTTTTTTTTTCTTGTTTCGTATTTTCCTCTTCTCCTGGGCCATGTGACCCCCCCATATTCAAGTTCCTCTGCTGGCGGATGCCCATTCATACATATATTTTAGCCTCTCTCTCTCTGTCATCCTGTTGGCCATACGTCGGTTTGCATAAATTTTAGCCTCTGGCAAAAGAGGACTCGAAACGTAGGGAACTCCTGTTGACAGGCGGGATTCCCTCTCCCCCCCTTTCGCCACACTGCTCTGGTGCTTCTCCAGCAGATAAATTACGCTCCAAGCACCAAGGACCAATGGAAGCGGTAGAGCCAACGGATGACGGCTGGGCAAAGCCAAAGCCAAAGGCAAAGCTGTAGGAAAAACCTATAGCCAAAGTCAGAGTGGAGGACCAAGGACTGACTGTCTGCCTGACTGTCAAGCAGCTGTATGCTTATTTTTCTTTCAACTGTAACTGTTGCCAGGAAAAATGAAGACGAAGAAGAAAAAGATGGGAAAAACACACACACACACATGAGGCCTTTGGTGTCAGGCGGCAAAAGTTTCGATTTGGTTTTGTTCAGATCAAGAGGGAATTATCCAAAATTTTTGATAAATTTATGAAAGGATATGTTGAAAGTTTTGAAGAATTTGAAAGTTTTTAAAGTTTTAAAGAGATTTTAAGATTAGTCAGGCTAAGAAGTAACAGTTTTTCTTTTTGGTTAGAACAACCCACAACTTGTATTCTTAATGGCTTGTGATTGAGTATTTAACCCATGCTTGCCTAAATATAAATGCCATTTAATATTTAATAAATGGAAGGCCATAAATCTTGAATTTTATTGCCAACTATTTCCTCTTTTTGAAGTCACTAAGCAGTAAGCAGTAAGCGTACCGAACATTTTTCTAGCTTTACGTTCGTAGAATCTCAAAAGCCGTGTAGAGCGGAACCCCTGTCAGGTTTTTCTACTACCTCCCTGTGATCACCCCCCAAACCCTGCCCCTTGAAAAGGGCCTGCCTCCTCTGTTCTTGCTGTTTTGTGGCGTCTGTTGCTGTTTTCTCAATGCCTTCAAAATGGCACACGGAAGCCGAGGCGTCTGCTATAAATTTTTAACAACCATTTAACTTGAATTTTATTAGTCCCCAGTCAGCGGTCAGAAGTTCCAGGGGGTGATAGAAAGAGGGGGTTTGGGGGGGGTCATGACTGATGCTCTTAGTTGCTTTCATGTTGCGTTCTCGGAATATGCTCGTATTTTTCGGTATACAAAGTGCCCAAATGCTGCCCACAAAGTCATCACAATGACATTTTGCATTTCGCAGTTCATTTCTGGTCGGTCGTCTCATTCCCTATATATATATATATACGTTTCTTTATGGTGTTTTCCTTGCCTATTTTCTGCTGGTTATTGATAGTCCTTAGATAGACCCCCCTCTAAGTTCTCTCTCTTTCTTTCTTACATTCTCTATCTCTATCTCGTGTCTCTTTCTGTCTTGGCCATAATTTAGTATATATGGAATGTAGTGACTTGTGGGTCACTTGTTTTGCTGCAGCTTCAGTTGTTCGCCTGCCGTTGACCGATAACCATGTACTTCTCAAACTATTTTTTTCTTTTTTTTTGTTCTTTTTTTTTTTGTTTAGTTCTCTTTCTATATAGTTTTTGTTGTTATTATTTTAGTTGTTGTTGTTGTTGGCAAATTGCTTAGGAGAAAAAAAAAAAGAAAAACAAAAAAGAAAAAGTTTATTGCGATTGTTTTTCGGTTTTTGTGGGTTTTTTTTTCTTTTTTAACAATCTCGAAAACAAAATTGAAAAAGCAAACCGAAAATGTTACTTGCAGTTGAGTAAAATGTGCGCTGTTGACAGACTAATAATAGAAACAAAAACCACAACAACAAAAACTAAACAACTCGAGTGAAACAAAACAACAACCCAAAAAAAAAAAAAACGAAACGAGCAAAGAAAACCGTAAAAGAAATTGATAAAAATAAGAAAAAGAAAAGAGAAAAAACAAACTAACAAGAAAAAACAAAAAATCAACGATTATACCGATAAACCGATAAACAACAATAAACGATAAACACCCCCGCCATGGACTCGCTGGAGCGTCTGATGCGAGCAGCCCCCTTGCCACGTATGCTAACCAGTGGTGTTGTGGCCACGGCCGCTGCTGCCGCCGCAGCTGCCGCTGGCAAGGGCATTGTCAGTG